GTCTGATACTGTATATTCTGTCTGTATATACAGAGTGTCCCAAAAGTGTCTCGCAATCCGAAAGTGGCGGATTCCTCAGGCCATTTGAAACAACTTTTTCCTTTACAAAAATGTCCTTCGAGGCACCGTTAACGAGTTATTAACGAAAAACAGTGACCAATGAGAGCTCAGCTGGCGCGAGGCGATCGAGCCAATGAGCGGAACTGGGCTTCGTGCGCTGGTTGGCTGGGCCGCCTCGCGTCAGCCGTACTCGATTCTTATTGGTCACTGTTTTTCGTTGATAACTCGTTAACGGTGCCTCGGAGAACATTTTTGTAAAGAAAGAAGTTGCTTCAAATGATCCGAGGAACCCGCCATTTCCGGATTCCGAGACATTTTTGGGACACCCTGTAGACTGTTGTAAATCGATGTGAAGACAAAAGAAGTGTGAAACAATGCATATGAAGACGATTATTTGATTCAAACGATGAGCGAGTGAGCTACTAGAGCAAGCGCGTCGTCCAGAGAGATGACATCCGCGAAAGCCACTATAGTGGCGTGTCGTTCTAAAAAATGACATCCGCGAAAGCCACTATAGTGGCTAAATTGTTGTACCTTCTTTACGAACTTAATCGATGTTTTTCTCCTCTCTTGTGCCTTATCTTCGGTTTACTATTCTGTCTTCTGAATTGTTGTGCCCTCTTTACAAACTTAATCGATGGTTCTCTTCTTGTGTTTTTGTTGCTTTTGCTTCACCATTTTATCGACTGGATCGTACTTTCTTTGCAAACTTATTCGGTGGGTTTATCCTCCGTGAAGTAGAATTATGCAGCTTCAAATCTCAAGTTCCTAAAGATTCATCTTACGCCCGGGTTCTTCCATTTTGTCCTTCCTCCATTGTTTTTTAAGATGTCTCACGTGGTCGGGCAACCTTCCTTACTCTAATCTTGTGTTCTTAGTTCCGATTTTAACGATTCCGGTGTCTCGTTCTGAAACGTTAATGGAATATGCATCAGCAAATTCTTACGATTTTACGTTGCTGAAAACATCGACTTCAACTGGTTCAATAAAATAGTACAAATTGCTTAAATATCTAACCAAGTGAACTGAACTAAAAACAAGGACTACTTCTGTATTAGAAACTGCAACATTTCCATTTTGTTCAGCCGGCATTCTTACAGGGTAATCAAAAGAGCTCCAATGTGCCCTAAACAAAAGCCCCCCGCGATCGGCATCGATCTTCGTCCCACGACCTCGAATACTCCGTAAAGAAGAACTATACCCACACAATGACAGTGCCCCATGGATGCCGAAAGCTTTAGTCCCGTGTAAACCCATTTCCGAGCCGATCGTACGGCAGAAAGGAACTAATCGCGTCTTATCGTGCTCCTCGATAACCAATCGGCCTCGAACGAGCTCTCTGGCTCCTCGTTCTTAAATAGACAATCAGCTTTCCCGTCCCGCTCCCCCCTTTTTCCCCATCGAAATGTCCCCCTCGTCGTGGCCGGGATATTGTCGCGCAATTACAAATTCCCACAGTGAACGGGACAGGATTCTTCCCCTCTGTCGCTCTCTCGATCCTCTTCCGATGCTCCCGGGCCAGCGTCAATCTCTCTTATCCCTAGGCGGCTGGTTCTTTTCACTAAGAACAGAGCCAGGTCGAAAGATGAAGTGCGGTCGATCGAGAAATCAACGGTGCTACTGTGTCGGAATATTTGGCCACTTGGTCCCTTCGCGAGGACCGTTCGATCGACCGTGAAAACTGGCCGAGGCAAACAATGTTCGGTCTATGTAGGCTATTAAATTGCAAGCGGCGTGGTCAATTCGAATGTTAATGTTTAAGAATGTGCAGACGTGGATGCGGAATTGTAGGACAAGTCGAGCTCGATCCTTGTTCCTCGTTCTTCGAGGTGAAAATTCGCTCATTCACAATTTAACATTGTTCAGTCTATTTGGGCCATTAAATTGCATGCGGCGTGGACAATTCGAATGTTAATGTTTAAGAATGTGCAGACGTGGATGCGGAATTGTAGGACAAGTCGAGCACGATCCTTGTTCCTCGTTCTTCGAGGTGAAAATTTGTTCGTTAACAATTTAACATTGTTCAGTCTATTTGGGCCATTAAATTGCAAGCGGCGTGGTCAATTCGAATGTCAATGTTTAAGAATGTGCAGACGTGGATGCGGAATTGTAGGACACGTCGAGCTCGATCCTTGTTCCTCGTTCTTCGAGGGTGAAAATTCGCTCATTCTACATTTCCGGATGGCGTAGCATTTTTAGCTTCTTTTTATTCGTAGCGTAAAATATTCTTCCTTGAAATTCTGACATTATAATTGAAACCTAACGTTTCAGTTTAACCTATAAACGACAGCGTAAGTATTTTTCCCACGTTGATGCGAAAACAACGTTATAATCTTAATATAACATTACTTTTGTAACCTTGACATAACTTTACAATCATATGTATAAATACGTTAATAAAATGTTGTAAGGTATGATTTATTATTATATTGATTATAAGCTATTACACATTAATAAAAAAATTACAAGGCATTATTTATTACCACTTGGTATAATTGCAATAATTTATTTTAAGCACAACTAAGTTTCTTCGGTTTTCCTATAGCTTCGGCGTTTAGGGTGACACAAGAATGAGTGAATTGTGTTTTATGGAATACCAATCATCAATCGCCGTACGAAATATTTTACCAGATTGTAAAGATTACAATTAAACGGCGGTTCTTCCAGCAAAATGAAGATTGTCGGCATCAATTCCCGAGAGCCACCCGCGCATTCGATTCTGTTCCGAATCATTGTAACGGCACGAGCCAGACGGGAACGGCGATCGAAAATTCTTGCCAAGTTCCGTCGTTTTGCATCCGGCCGAGTTCGTTGTAAACGCATAAAATCCCCGTGGCCGTGGTTCTAACAGCACGAAAATAACACCGCGAATGCCGGCACATAATAACGTATTACGCGCGCTGTTATCTGCCGGTGGAAATTTTTTTTCCAGGCCAGGAAGTCGCCAATTAACCGTGCACAGAATTTAGTGCGGAAAACTCGGCGAAAAACGAATTTTATTCCCCGTCCCAGGAAGCACGCTCTATAAAGATCTGAATTGCGGGTTTTATGAATGATAACTCGCGCGATTGTTTAACACTCGGCACGGCGAGACGCTCGTAAAAGTTTAAGGGGTTGCTTTTCCCATTTAGAGCCTAATGGGATCGTTAATACGGTAAACAGGTTTGGATCCAGTTTCTCTGGATCAGTCCATAAAACTCGATATTCGCGGAAACATCTGGCGGTCTACTTATCAGTAACGATGGGTTTATCTCGTTAGCAGTGATGCCTGGCTCCGTTTCCAGATGCACTCGTTACTAGACCAATTGTCTCTCTTTCTCGCGAGCTCGCGCGCGCGCGCGCACTCTCGGGACAAATGAACGGCTGCCGTGCAATTTCTTCGGCGTCGAAGCGGAGAGCGTGTAGCCGCGTTCCCGCTTTGCTTCGCGAGCGAGCGAGCGAACGAGCGAACGCGCGCGGAAACGTGCGGCCGGCTGTGTATTTAGCGCGGTGAAACCTCCGACAGCGGACACCGTTAACGTTCATCTTTGCCCGGCGAACGACGTCGGTTCCGTTAGCTTCTTTTGTGACAGGTTCGTTCGGTTTTTCCCCCCTTTCCGCGCCGGTAAACCGATGGATTACGAGATAATCCGCGCGGAGCAGCTCGGCCCCGCAGGACGTGCCTTTTCTTCGCCGGAATAAATTACGCCGCCGCTCGGTAATAATTAGACGATCGTTTACGTGATTGATCTTATCGGTGATTTGTTCCATAATTTATGACCGCGATGGGTGTCGCGAACCTCGCCGTGTACGCTACCTACCTACCGGATTTTCTCGGCTGTGACAGCAGTGCTCGGTACCACAATGGAACATTAAGCTGTGGGACTCACTGAGGCAGCAACGGCCGGCTTTTTGCTGTCTCTTGGTGTTGTACGTTCGAGAAGATTGACAGCTGCAACTCGCTGTGTAACATTTTGTTCCTTCTGAAGTAACAGTCTGTTGTAGAAAGTACGCGCTGCATTCCCGATTTTTCGACGAATCGTCGATACTTCGACTGTCATCATTTCGTAAAACCGTGTCGCACGACGACCAACCTGGACACCGTTTCAAAGCTCGAAGCTTCTGCTCGCGCCGCGCGTCGTTCATTTTGCTGCAACGTGGTTTTGCATCGTGTAACAGGTGGGAAACTGGAGACACGCACTTTCTGGGAAATGTTACGGATCGAAACGTCTGCAAACACGCTGGATAATTTTTTTTCACGGCTGATCTTAACGTAGATTTCAAGATCGGAGCATCCTTTTTAGAATCGCGTGTTAAGCTTTGACGTCCGATATTTTTTGGCCACTCTATCGAGCTTCGAATGGCGACGCGAGATTCGCGAGAGCTCTACGCGGCCGGACTCGTGCCTCGTTTTTGCTTCGTAAAACGACTAGAGAAAATCGTACACCAATTTTTAAGAGGTCATTGTAAAGAGGAAGCTTCAATCTTTAAATCCATGGTCGATTTATTCGTGAACAAAATTTTTCAATGATTTTGGAGACGTTTGAGTTTGTAACCTGTATTGCGAATTGCGAAGATAGAGGTTTCTAGCTCTTTGCAATAAGTCGAGATTCATTGTGGTACGATTCTTTTTTACGAAATTATAACAGTTCAAATGTCGACAATTTGTCGTAAAATCTGATATTCGGTGCATGAATACGTTTTACGCTAACCATATAATATTTGGGGAACTTTTTGGTTTTGGTAGGGGCTCCTTGCGGCTACGTTGTTGTCGGCGATTAAAAGGAATCGAATCGTTAATTTTTTGTTTGATTTGAGAAGGTGGATCAAATAGAAATACACATATTTAATAATATTCAGTTTGTTTTCCATTCATATATATTTTAAATAAACAACGAAGTGTTGAAGATACTTACGGAGTTGGAAGAATTTGGGACGGTCAAGGTAATCATCGCATTAGAGATAGAGAAAATATACTTAAAATACACTCGAAATACATATTTAGTATAAACAAAGTACTCAAACTGCTAATAGTGTTCATTTAAGACATCAAAAATTCTCGATATACTCATTATTGTAGCTCAAACATTTATAATCCTCAAAAAATGAGTATACGTACTCTCTTATTCCTTCGCGAAAAAGTCAATTATATAATTATCCATTTAAATTACAATATTTATAAAGACCAGAATAAATTCGAAAATTTCGGGATATTTATAAACATTTTGTTCTAAAGACAACGAGTACTTTGAATACATAAAATGCTAAAAACACGCAAAAGAAGAATAGATTTACGTCATTACTATAACGCGTAGCGAAAAATGCATCAGATGAAATAAAAAATCATTAGTTTGATTACCGCAAGTATTATAGATATAAAAAGCGTCGTGTGATGTAAATAGTTATCACACTGAATTCGTAATATTCTCGAGACTGCCATGATCTCCTAACAAAACATTAAAATTAACATATCTCCTAAAGTAATGATTTTTTACCATAAATAGCATAGTACTTTTTTGTAAAGAATATCAAGATGCATCGATCGATGCAATAAAAAGTATACGATTCCGTTTAAACAAATATTAATAGCCTTTGTATCTCCTCCGCACGTTCACCTACGAGAAAACTAGTATCATCAGAATGTGCTTCTCTCGAAACCATTTAATTTCATCCGAAACAATTTTTCGCTACGCGCGATAACAATGACGTCACACCAGATGGCAAAACGCGGTGACCCACCCTGCACGGAATTCACCTAAGATACCGATACTTTCGGAGCACCGAAATAACCAGCGCACCGTGGCGACCGAATTATTGGTAAGCCGGAGTGCAGAAAGTGCTCGAAATTTTGACGACAGGTCAAAGGAACGACGAACGCGCGGCCGGATCCGCGTAAAGCGTGTATCATTAACTCCAGTAAAAACGGAGAGCCCAGATATTCCTCAAGTTAATGAGAGAGCACACGTAAGTAACGCCGTCAATAAAACTGCTTTGGTCCGGCGGCCGGGCCGCTTTAATTAAGCGCATTCGTTTTAAATCGACTTAAAAGCGGCCGTTCCATTTGATTTTTCTGCGCCACGGCTGAATTCCATCGGCGCACGCAATCGTCCCTCTCTCGCTCCCTTGATCTTCGTTTACCCGATAAATTCAGCCGCCATTCCTGCAACGAGAAAAGAAAAAAGAATGAAAGGAGGCGAGCCAGCCTGATTTATTCCTGTTACCACGAAATCGCTCTCGACGCGGCGCTGTCATATAGGACTTCTTGCCCGATGCTAATTCGGCGCTGATTTATGCCTTCGGCTCGAACACGTCTTCGCGAAGGCGAACGTTCGTTCTTACTTTAATTCCGCACCGAACTATACGTACCACCTCTCGATCCCGATCGTCATTCGTTTGTAACGAAGACTTGCGATTTCCAAGCTTTTTTGCGGCAGCGCGTTCTCGTTCACCGGAATCATGCAATTTGATCGGCATTAGGTGACCGGGTGTCGGTCTAAATAAAACGACTAGAGAAAATCGTACACCAATTTTTAAGAGGACATTGTAAAGAGAAAACTTCGATCTTTAAATCCATGGTCGATTTATTCGTGAACAAAATTTTTCGATGATTTTGGAGGCGTTTGAGTTTGTAACCTGTATTGCGAATTCCGAAGATAGAGGTTTCTAGCTTTGCAATAAGTCGAGATTCATTGTGGTACGATTCTTTTTTACGAAATTATAACAGTTCAAATGTCGACAATTTGTCGTAAAATCTGATATTCGGTGCATGAATACGTTTTACGCTAACCATGTAAAATTTGGGGAACTTTTTGGTTTTGGTAGGGGCTCCTTGCGGCTACGTTGTTGTCGGCGATTAAAAGGAATCGAATCGTTAATTTTTTGTTTGATTTGAGAAGGTGGATCAAATAGAAATACATAAATTTAAAAATATTCAGTTTGTTTTCCATTCATATATATTTTAAATAAACAAGGAAGTGTTGAAGTTACTTACGGAGTTGGAAGGATTTGGGACGGTCAAGGTAATCATCGCACTGAAGATAGGGAAAATATACTTAAAATACACTCGAAATACATATTTAGTACAAACAAAGTACTCAAACTGCTAACAGTGTTCATTTAAGGCATCCAAAATTCTCGATATACCCATTATTGTAGCTCAAACATTTATAATCCTCAAAAACTGAGTGTACGTACTCTCTTATTCTCTCGCGAAAAAGTCAATTATATAATTATCCATTTAAATTACAATATTTATAAAGACCAGAACAAATTCGAAAATTTTGTAACGAAGTTTGTAACGAAGACTTGCGATTTCCAAGCTTTTTTGCGGCGGCGCGTTCTCGTTGACCGGAATCATGCAATTTGATCGGCATTAGGTGACCGGGTGTCGGTCTAACGAGTTTCAAAGATCGGAAATAATTTGTTTCACATTGACGATCGGGCGCAAGTTCGACCGATACTTTCTCGTTGGAATTTTTCTCTCGTTTTTCCCTCGTTTTCGTTGACCGGAATCATGTAACCGGATCAGCATCGGGTGACTAGACAGACGTGTCGTCCAGCGAGTATCAACGATCGGAAATAATTTGTTTCGCGTCGGCATAACGCACGCAGGCTCTCGACCGATGCTCACCGTTTTGGAATTTATGCTTTCCAAGAATCCGCGAGCGTGACGAAACAATTTCGCGGATACTGACATCGCGGATGGATCCGACCGGTCGCGAACGATCGGGGATAGAGATCGATCGCGAAGGAATCCAAAGAGTCTCGCGGCATGCAAACTTCTCGGGCGAGCGCTCGTAAATCGCGGGATTAACGCGTGAAAGTAGAACGCCGTGAAAAAGTAGAGTGAAGTAGAACGGTTTCGGAAAAAAAAGGAATTCGCGTCTGCGCCTGGTAAACGTACACGCGAACTGCAACCGGGAGCCGTGCAGGAGCAGAAGGATGCGTGGAACACCGGCGACAAAAAATTTGCCGACGTTACCTTTTAACGGGAAAACGAACGAAACTGGTTCGCGGCTTTCGATCGGTTAATCGCGATTTTTCTGAATCCGCCGAAGTAAAACGCGTAATCTTATGAAACCGATCGAGAAATCGAATGCGAGAATGAATCGCGACGGCGACTCTGGCTCGCTTTCTCGGCGCTGCTCGACGTTAAATTGAGCCGTTCTTCTCGCAGTTTTGCTCATAATTGACAGCCGATAATTAACAGCGAAGGTGAAGCCAGCTAGCAATTGTTGGCCCGAGGAGATCGTTGTGAGCAACGATCGACGGAGAAAGGCGAAATGTAAACAGGAAACGAGGAGCCAAGAAAAAAATAGATCGCGAGGGCCGGACGGGCGACGGATCAGGGTAAAATAGAAAACAAGGTGCGAGGGGGCCACGAAGGGAGAGAAAAATGGCAGGAAAGGCTGGAAATAGAGACGGCGGATCAAGAGAAAGCAGGGGAGGGACGAAGAGGGGAAAGTGAGAAGATAGAAAAGGGAAGACGCGGAAGGAGAAAGAGAGAAGGAGAGAAATCACGCTCTCTCCCACTTTAACGTGTGGTTCTTATGAATCGAGGGGAGGGCGTAACCCAGATTACTGCTCACCGGACTATAATATTACGCGAACAGATCGGCCTGGGCATATAACGGGTGGGCATCGCCGAATCAATCGTCTTCGCTTCTTACGCGACCGCATCTGAAACAGAAATAAATTACGAACTCGTTTCATTGCGCAATCGTTTCGCTAATCTAGATAAAAAAAAACGATTTTTCACGAACTTTCCGAGGTTGTTTAATCGGGCACCGTTTCCTTTCATCGTGAGCAGAGACAGTGATCGGAAACAATGGTACGGAGAATCTACGTTTTTGTAAAGGTGACGCAAAAAAAAAAGGAAACTAGACTAACGGGGTGGAGAGGAGTTCTCACGAACCCTCGTTTCAATGATAATGAAAGTTTCTACCCTTAACTCCGCAACCCCTGCCCGACGAGGCTCTAAGATTCCTCGTTAGGTATGCATGTGAATCCTGCGCCGATAAAGTTTTTCGATGAAATTGAAAACAGCCTTGCGGTGCTGGAAATTGTAAAACCTTTGGTCTGTCCATGATTGGGTCGCGGTGCGATGCGGTTGTTCAACAGTCGAGCAGCATATCTTTGCGACAAGGTATAACTGTATACGCTTTCAGGATCATTTATAATTTTATTTGTCAATTTTGTTTTCACATATCTTTCGAGGTATTAATTTTTGACACGTTAGCTTTCTCTGTAGGCCTCGATGAAACATGCGAAAAAACGGTCAGGAACTTGATAGCCAAACAACATTGTTACATGAGACTATGTACAGTAATTTCTCCCTAATTCGCGCTAAAAAATGGACAATTTGGGAATAGGAGATACGATTATTCGTGCCCTGCGGCTCGTTTTTATAGTTGTTGACAATTCGTAAGTATAAAAATGAACCACAAAGATCGAATAATCGTATCTCCTTTTCCTAAATTGTCCATTTTTGTGGACAATCATGCTATGTACATAGTACGGTAATTTCTTCCTAATTGGCGCTCAAAAATGGACAATTTGGGAATAGAAGATACGGTTATTCCAGCCCTACGGCTCGTTTTTATAGTTACCGATTCTAAACTACTATAAAAACGAACTCCCAGAAAATACTCCTCTTCCCAAATTGTCCATTTTTGTGCGCAATCTGATCGCGAATTACGGAGAAATTACTACATTTCGTAACACAAAACGCTAAGAACATTTAAAACCGTAAATACTGTGATATTTGGAACAGTTGTTCCCGTGTAAATAAGCATAAATAATTATCCCTTATGTTCCCAAAATTCAATTCAACAATCAAGGATCCCCTGCGATTATTACCCTAACCCGAAGATCCAGAAGTGGAAGAAAATCATAGAAAAACCTTCGAGCCGAAAATTCTTCGCCGAACAAAGAACCCGCGAAAGACATTCCGACGAACGCGGGAAGAGTCCAACGCTCGTCTAAGCCGAACCTGGACGATTTCTCGGCAGCCACCCGGTAGGTATTCCCGAAGGATACCTCGGTACGGAATGAGACGGAGTTAGGCCCCTCTCGTTCCCTCCCTGCGAGGCTCCCACTTTCCCTCTCTGTCGCACACTGGCTGGCTGCCACTCCGGTGTTCAGGTGGTGTCAGAATTCTGGCGCAATACGAAGGGGTGGGAACCCTTGGCAGTCCGAATTCCCAACCCCGACGCGACCTTGCGCTCTCTCGCACATGCCCGCGCAAACATACACATGTTCGCGTTGCACACAGGCGCGCATACGCGACCGCGGATCCTGCTTCTGTCTGTACACGCGTCCGTCCGTCGGTCTGTCTGTCTGTCCGCCCGTTCGTCCGTCCGTCTCTTCCACACACGTTGTCCCGAACGCGCGCGCGTGTGGAACGAGGACGCGCGCGTGTGCGAGTGCATCGGTGTTGCGGCACGTATGCACCGCTAAGTATGCACCGCCGCTACGCCGAGCATTCCAGCGTGCACTTATGCGCACGTTCGAGCCGGATACTACATAGTCCCTGCGCTCCGTCTGTCCGACGACTAGAACCCCGCGGCTCGGGAGATGCGTGCAAGATTCGCGGACGGTTCCGCCGTTTTTCTTTTTCCTTTTCGTTTTTTTTTCTTCCTCCTCCCCGGCCGAATTCCGCGCCAGTTTTCGGCAATTCAGGGGTTACGAGGCGATAAAGGGACCCTCGCGAGCTGGATAGTCGTTTTCGAGGATTGTAGCTGCGGCTGCGATATTCGCTGGACCGTTGGCATCCGCGATACCGCTGGACTGCGGATCTTCGCGCGTTTTGGAACAGAAATGGGTGTCAAGTACGCCATAGTCCAAATTTCAGAAGAATTTAGTGGTAAATTCCCCTAATCGACGCTCAACTTGGAAACAGAAAAGGACAATTTTGGGAAGAAGGTGTTACGATTATTCCAGATACAGAAAAAGTATTCGATAGTTTTGATGCAAAATGTTTATTTTGCAAGAAAGCCTACTGTTTACGGTAAATTCTCACTAATTTTTCTTTCAGATTGTGCACAAAAATGGACGATTTGGGAAGAGGAGATACGATTATTCCAGATACACAAAAAGTATTGGATAGTTTTGGTGTAAAATGTTTATTTTACAAGAAAGCCTACTGTCTACAGTAAATTCTCCCTAATTTTTCTTTCAGATTGTGCACAAAAATGGACGATTTGGGAAGAGGAGATGCGATTATTCCAGATACACAAAAAGTATTGGATAGTTTTGGTGTAAAATGTTTATTTTACAAGAAAGCCTACTGTCTACAGTAAATTCTCCCTAATTTTTCTTTCAGATTGTGCACAAAAATGGACGATTTGGGAAGAGGAGATGCGATTATTCCAGATACACAAAAAGTATTGGATAGTTTTGGTGTAAAATGTTTATTTTACAAGAAAGCCTATTGTCTACAGTAAATTCTCCCTAATTTTCTTTCAGATTGTGCACAGAAATGGACGATTTGGGAAGAGGAGATGCGATTATTCCAGATACACAAAAAGTATTGGATAGTTTTGGTGTAAAATGTTTATTTTACAAGAAAGCCTATTGTCTACAGTAAATTCTCCCTAATTTTCTTTCAGATTGTGCACAGAAATGGACGATTTGGGAAGAGGAGATGCGATTATTCCAGATACACAAAAAGTATTGGATAGTTTTGGTGTAAAATGTTTATTTTACAAGAAAGCCTACTGTCTACAGTAAATTCTCCCTAATTTTCATCCAGATTATTCACAAAAATGGACAATTTAGGAAGAGAAGATACGATTATTCGAGCCTTGCGGCTCGTTTTTATAGTTGTCGACGATAGGTAACTATAATAACGAGCCGCAAGCCTCGAATAATCGTATCTCCTCTTCCCAGATTGTCCACTTTTGTGTACAAACTAAGCGTCGATTAAGGAGAATTTACTGTATTGTTACACTCTTCGCGATCTTTTCAAATTGACAAAAAGAGAAACGAATCTGTGTAACGTACAGTTCTTGCAGCGAATGCAGGAGATTTGCATAAATATCCGCAGTCTAGTTATCGCTGCGTGTCGTGTTGGGTTTCTAGTAGGTTCGTGAATTTTCTCAGCGAACTGGGGAGAGTCGTCTTCTGGAGCTAGATCATGGTTGCAGCACCTTTGACACCCTCGTCGATTTTTATGGGTACGCAGTTTTAAATGCTCGAGTGCTAGATCGCTGTTCACAGATCTAATAGTGCGTCTTTTGAATTCTTATCTGATTTCCAAGAAATATTTGTCAATTATTTATTAATTATTAATTAATTAGTTAAATATTGATTCATTTGGCGATCGAACGTGGGAGTTGCAATATTTACCAAACCTTTGGAATCTGTGTTATCGCTGTAGAGCTAGACCGTAGAGCTGTATTTATGACAATTTTGGATACGTTAAATTTGCAATGGTTTAAATTTTTATTATTTAGAATAGAGAATTTAATGGTGCTATTGTATTCCTCGCGATATGTTAAAGCCGATAGAAAAAGAAACGAATCTCTGTGCAGCACACATTTCTTGCAACGAATGCAGACAATTTCCATTTCGCATCAATAACCGCAGTTTAGTAGTCACAGATAAGTCTTCCAGTACGTCTGCGGGATTTTTAGATGGTTCCTGAATATTTCAAGCAATCCTAATAGCGGTTTTCTGCAACTGAAGCTGGAGCAACGATCTCTATTGAACTTTCCATAGTTCTCAAATAACCAGCTGCAAAGATCCTATCCTCGCGGTCTGTCCCGAGCGACCGAAAATCGTCCGAGGTGTGCAGTAGCTGTTAAAAAATCGAGAATCATCGGCTTTTTATCGCCGTGCAATAAAGCAACTTCATCCTTGCGTCCCATATTTATTTGAAAACGAAACCAACAGGGAAAACGAGACGATCAAAGATCTAAATTCGAGGGCGAGAAGACGAACAGCAAAACACAGTAATTTCTCCCTAATTCGCGATGAAATTACAGTAATGTTTCTCTAATTGACGCTCAGATTGTCCAGAAAAATAGACAATTTTAGAAGAGGAGATGCGATTATTTAAGCCTTGGGTCTCGTTTTCATAGTTACAAATTGTCGAGAAATATAAAAACGAGCTGCGAGGCTGGAATAATCGCATCTCCTCTTCCCAAATTGTCCATTTTTGTGCGCAAACTGAGCGTCGGTTTCGGAAACATTACTGTACATCAAAAAATGGGCAATTTGGGAAGAGTAGATACGATTGTTTAAGCCTTGGGTCTCGTTTTCATAGTTACAAGTTGTCAAGAAATATAAAAACGAGCTGCGAGGCTGGAATAATCGCATCTCCTCTTCCCAAATTGTCCAGTTTTTGAACGCAAACTGAGCGTCGGTTTGGGAGACATTACTGTACATCCAAAAATGGACAATTTGGGAAGAGGAGATACGATTATTTAAGCCTTGGGTCTCGTTTTTATAGTTACCGAATGTCGACGACTATAAAAACGAGACGCAAGGCTGGAATAAACGCATCTCCTCTTCCCAAATTGTCCATTTTTATGTGAAAACTGAGCGTCAGTTTGGGAGACATTACTGTACATCCAAAAATGGACAATTTGGTAAGAGGAGATACGATTGTTTAAGCCTTGGGTCTCGTTTTCATAGTTACAAATTGTCAAGAAATATATAAACGAACTGCGAGGCTC